ACGAGATGAACTTCAAAACGTGTTGTCTTCGAGTGGACTGCTTAACCTAGACAACATGCTGGACCCGGCACAACATACTGGGAGTGCTCCACAGCACTAGTCATTCCGTGCACGGGCCTCTTAAATGCATTTGCCTTAGTCAGCAGTGGTGATTCATCATTCATTGAATGTCTGGTCAAGTCTCTATACACTCACTATTAGTAAGTCTTTACAAATGTAGTTTAAAAAGTCTAAAGGCAGTCCTTTTGCGAAGCTTCACCTGGACTTTTGTTCCTCTGCCAAATCTTGTTGGTGGACTTATGTTCCTTTGTGAAGCTACACCTAGACTTATGATCCTTTGTCGAATCCTACTGGTAGACTTATGTTCCTTTGTCGAATCCTACTGGTAGACTTATGTTCCTTTGTGAAGCCACACCTGGACTTATGGTTAGCAGCGCAATCCCCGGGGGCGCAAGGTGACGGCACACCCTCCAGCAGCGGTGCGGCCGCAGTGAAGTAGGCAGCCCCACTGTCCTCGACTACGTAAGGGACGGAATGGCCTCCTGTGCCGCTACGTCAGCCGTGTGGTAGGCAGCACCGCAAGCCTCGGCTGCGTAACGGTGCAGCCAGCCCTACGCGCGCGCTGAAATGGCACAGATTTGGAATATTGTTACCAAATTTGTAGATAATGTGAGTTTCTTTCAGTGTAATAATCTACGGAGTACAGTGGTTACAGCTGTGTTAGGTTTTTATTTGCTTTGTATTACAGATTATTTGTTTGGTGAGGGTGCTTATGTCGTCTAGGACGATTCCTGCGTATAGAGCTGTTTTAGCACATTTGAAAGCCCTGTGTCCAAACCTAGCTCCCATGATTGTCCACTGTGATTTTGAAGTGGCAGAAATTTCAGCATGGCGATTGGAATTCCCACAGGCAAGAATCTCAGGCTGCCTTTGGCACTTTTCTGTGGTGAGTATTTGTAAGTACTAAATATTATTTTGTGAAGGTACTTGACTGTCTGATAATTTCTCTTTTGATTCAGGCCTTTGGTTCAACAGCAAAGGATGAGGGATTGGCACCTCTGGCCAAGGAGAATGAATTTGTCCTGTCCACAATTGCAGCTTTGTGTGCAGTTCCAATGCTGCCTAAAAACCTTATGTGGGCCGGTGTGCTAGAGATTTGGAATGAGGTTGAAACCAATGGGTATTGGCACGTTCAAATGTGGCCAATATTTGAACATTTCGAACGGTATTGGCTTCCGAGAAGAGATGAGCTGTGCGTTTTCAATGCCCCATCACGCACGAACAATTGCAGGTACTAGCTCTTTTATGCTCTTAGAAATTGAATTGATTGAAGATAAGTGCATGTTCAGAACACATTGTGTCTTTCATGATTGCAGCGAGTCAGACAATAGAGCCATTGCTACCATGCTCCCTCAAAATAGACCCAATTGCTGGCATCTTATAGGTCTGGTAATGATTATTGTGTAATAGATGGTAGAATCAAGTATTTGAGAAACATGCACATCAGAACTTTTGCTTTACGTATTTCAGTATCTTTATTTTCAATCAACAGACTTTCCGTTTGTGACTTGTCTTTCTATAAATTCTAATTCAAAATTCATACTTCTAAGTAGCTTCTATTATTTCTTTCATTTGTTTAGATTTTCTAGTGCATGTTATTCATCTATTAAAATAAACCTTCATATGTAGTACTTTATGGTCTACAGTCTGCTTCATTCACAAATCTGTTCTCTTAAAGGTGGATTCAAACAACTGGAACACATCGCAATGTGTGATAGAACTGCTCTTCAGAGGCTGCAGCCAGTCACAGGTGGTAGAAAATGGAAAACAGCGTTCAATGACAGCACTGTAGAACGAGCTGTACGCATGTTGCGTGAAAGACAGATAACTCTTGCTCAGTACCTTCATAGAGTATCTCATGTTGTTATGGCAGGTGCTAAGCAAGGCCTGGGCATCCGTGTTAAGGACCAGGAAGAGAATAAGTTATTTGTATTATATTTTTCTATGCTGCTAATAATACATTTGTTAAGCTCTGTCATAGCTTGTGCAGTATTGGAAAATACAAGTTAAAGAAATGTGTGCAAGGGGGACAATACTAGGATTAGGCTGTGGCCTTGACTATGATGTCAAAGAAATTAAGCCAATTTATTTTGGATATATTATTTTTCTTTGCACATTTCATTCAATGTAAGACGCAGCAACTCCTCTAAAAACTTTGTCAAATCTGGTGTTTGCACCTTGCTTTCCTGATGGCTGAGGAGTGGGAGGTGCTTCCATCCACTCTGGGCTTTCCACTCACTCAGTAAAGGAAAGTTAAGGTGCCAACATTAGTTTTGGCACTGTCTTCAGTGGAACTGGAGTGGTTTGCATTGAATACATTGTGGCATTTTCTTTGAGAAACATATCAATGCCACATTCAATTTTCTACAATGGATCCATTTTTAATGTTATTGTTTTATTCGTGTAATTGATCTGGTTATTAACGTACTGCATCTGTAGTTGATTTTTGTACTGTGTATCGCTTCAGCAAGTTGTTTGAAAATTTATGCTGTTTAATTTCATATTTTATTACGTATGTCTAGTGTGAAGTTTATGTTGTTTTAAAATTGTGTGTACCCTTAGTCAATCTCTTTCATTGAGAATGTTAGTGTGTTTCCGTAAAATATAAATACATGTTGCGGCCGCTGCCGCCGAGGACGCTGCCAAAGCTTTTGCGGAAGCCCTGCCCGAGAACAAGGACGAGTTCAAGGATAAGTCCGTCAAGGCTGCTGCCAAAGCTGCTGCTACCGCTAAGTCCGCCGAAGTGGCCGCAAAGGAGTTTGACAAAGCCGTTGGAGAACCTAACCTCGAAAAGTGCTCCTTGGGCTTCGAGTGCAAATGGATCAAGATTAGCCTGCTGAAGTCGCTTGCAAGGCTGGTTGACAAGCATTGGAAACCTGATGTGAGTCGTTTGAGTGAAAACCTTCAGTACCTAGCGCTCGAGCTTCCCAAGTCTGTGCTCAGTCATCTGAAGATTAAAGAAAGTCTGAACTTGAGGTGGAAAGGCGAAGCGGAAACTGTGCACCCTGGAGTCCCTAAGAACGTAGTCCAAGGCCTGATGAGGACACTGAAAATCAGTAACCCCTCGGTGAAAAACTTTCTGCCTCACTCCATACTCCGGGACTTCATCGGGACGAGCGTGGGACATACCCAGCAACTCTTTTCCGACCAGAGGGCTCTGGTGTGCAAGAAGGGGAATGCTCTGGTGAAGTGCAATTCGGGTGGCTGCATGGAAGAGGTGCTGCCCACGAGGGCATTCCATATCACTGGCAGAACTGGCTGCCGACTCGACCCGGGCGAAGAGCAGCATGTTGTGTGCGTGGAGTGCTTGCGTAGTCTGCTGCGAGCGAGGCACTTCGCCATTAACTGCCCGGTTCTGCGGTGGCCAGCGGCAGCCTTCGAGCCCACCTTCTGCAGGGGGATCTTCGCCGAGGAGCAGCTCGAGTTCGCTGATCGATGGGAAGGACCCGACGGTGACCTGTTCAGTCGAGCTCGAAATGTGCTTCGAAAACGCGAGGGTGGAGGGAATGGCACAGTTCCCATGGCCTGCACTTTGGACAGCCGACCAGACCTACCCGCTGTCTGCGGTAGTGTATCAGGGGGGCGGGTTCTACGCCCTTGTCCTCTTGCGTGAGAAAACACTATCACTGAAATCCATTTTTT